GTTCACTTTAGGAGCTAATAAAGTGTGTTTTAGGTTTGCTAACGGTTCACTTTAGGAGCTAATAAAGTGTTTTAGGTTTGCTAACGGTTCACTTTAGGAGCTAATAAAGTGTTTTAGGTTAGCTAACAGTTCACTTTAGGAGCTAATAAAGTGTGTTTTAGGTTTGCTAACGGTTCACTTTAGGAGCTAATAAGGTGTTGTTAGGTTAGCTAACGGTTCACTTTAGGAGCTAATAAGGTGTCGTTAGGTTAGCTAACGGTTCACTTTAGGAGCTAATAAGGTGTCGTTAGGTTAGCTAACGGTTCACTTTAGGAGCTAATAAAGTGTCGTTAGGTTAGCTAAAGGTTCAGTTGAGATAATAATGATATTGAGATAATAGTGATGACCCCTGTTTCATCATGCTTGTGGTCTGAACCCTGCAGATGGAGACGGGATAGCCCACATGGCTCAGTGGAGGATGAGACAGCTCTGCTGGGGAACACAGGACGTCCACACTGACAGTGAAAGGTGAGGGAAGGTACAGCTTAACTGACCCTCTGACCTGAGCAGTCAACATTTACATCAACTGACAGTAAGAAGCCCGTTGATCTACGCTCACTCTTTCACCTTTCTGCTTGCCACAATAAGTTTAAACGTTGGCAGCAACAACGGTACAATTGGGAGGAAACTAAAATATGTTTGAGCAGGGTTTTTCCTTTAAAGGTTGAAAGGTTTGTCCTGGTTGTTGGTTTTTAGAGGAAAGGTCATGAATGCATCACACCAAAGGTTTCTTGCTCTTCATTTGAGCGTGACTGTGTGCAGTCGTATCTGAAAGAGAGCGAGATGGAAAGTCATAGGTCATAGGAGTCACTGAGATCAATATATTTATTTTTTTGTTTTGTGGGATATTCTGGAGCTAAATATTGACATGAAATATATATTTTTATTATTACAGCCCACCACAGAATATCTTTGTTGCATATTTACAGTCTTAATAATTCAGTGACTTTCTAAAACTATCTCTAAAGAATATTAATTGTGGTGCAGAAGCTTATGAATTCATCATGTGAAGGCTGCGTGACATTTAAGACCGCTCAGTAGAGTTAAGATAGTCGTTAAAATAGAGTCATTAGATAGTGTCATTAGATAGAGTCATTAGATAGTTATTTCTAGGCAGCACCTTCAGCATCCAACCAAATGTCATGTGGTATTTGTTAAATATCAAAAGGGGCTTTTTAAAAAACCTTTTACAATTCTGATGCTTATTTTTAATTTGGATATTTGCTGATGACACTGTATTAAAAATACCAAATTTAATTGGACGACGCTGATGACAAAAGTTATCCAGTATGTTATTACTGTTCTTATTCAGTATTATAACATATAACAGAACAAACTTTATTCAAATTGTAAATAGTAATTAACAATTGTTTTAATGCTTATTTCTTTAATGAGATGACATGTAGTTATTGATGGTAGAAACTTACCATCATGCATCATGTTCAGTGACTTCCAGAGCTACAAGCTGACTGAGGATTCTGGGAATAAGAGGACGGACGTGAGCGTGGACAGCGACCTCATCCTGGCCCTCTGTCCTCCGAGGTGACTTAAAAACAAACACAACACCCTCAGTGTCACTCTGCATTTAAAGCAAACTATCATGTTTAATAACCACCTGAAACCATCGTCTTTGTTCTTCATTCCCTCCGTCTAGAATCGATACTGTGTAGCCAGACAACATTTTTAGATTTGGGTTATTTGACCAGTAAAATCGACAGTGTCAATGAAACACTGAAAGAGTCGATTTGAACACTAAGTCAACGAACATATGGTCCCTATCTACAGAGTGTTAAAGTCACACTGGACATAGTGTTACATTTTTAGAGTCAATTTAACTCTGGTTAGAGTTCATATTTTACACTACACTGAGAAGTGTTACTCAAATCTGACACTATGATGTAAATAACACTCGTAGTGTTATTTACATTTGACACGAGGTCTTTTTGAGTGTTAATCAAAATTAACTCTAATGAAGTTACTCTTCATGAGTGTTGGACCTACTTGACACTAAGTGTTGATTAAGAAATTACTCCAAATACAGTGTTGATGTTTAACTGACTCCTGCAGTGTTAAAACATATTTGCTCTTGTATTTACTCTCTTAGTGTAATTCTTACCCAACACCTTATTTTCTATTTACTCCTTTTTAACTCTTCAACAGAACACTTTTAAGAGTTTTGCATTTTCTACTTCACCATGTCAGCTAACACTTCAAACAATAAAACTAAAAATGTTTGCAGGGGAAAAAACAACAAACACCATTATATCCAAATCTTAATAACAATTTATTAAAAATAAACATTTAGTTTGCATACAATTTTTCATTATCAGTTTAGAGATGCACGTGTAACTCCCATTTGTGCTGCACTGTAACAATTAAACCTCACTTTCAAAGATGGAAAAAATCACTGTTCTTAAAAGACATGGTATATTTAGAATATACAATATTAACAATGTCTGTAAACACTGAAAACTGTGTGTTTACAGTGCATTTAGAGGATGCACACATCCGAGTACAATTCAAGCCATTTTCACCCAACAAAGAACAAACTTCGCTATCATCTGCAATCTACCAGCAGGTGTTTGAAATACATTTTTAAAGGAGAGATTCACAGATTTCTACCTTTATTTCAATTTCTCTGCTCATGGTGTAAATCTAACTGCACTCAAATTTGGTATTAAAACATTGTTTTAGTCACATGATGGTATCTGTAAAAACAGCAAAAGTGAAATCACATTATGACCTACAACACAATTCATTCTGAGACACTGAAGTTAAATTTAACACTAACTAGCTTTTGTTAAACACATTAAAAACAACTGAATGTAATTAGACAGCAATATAATGCTCACGTTACTTTGAAAAGTGCATATTCAGTTTAACAGACAGAATTCAATTAAACTAATTGGCTTTAAAGTGAATCCTTGTAGGAGGGCCCATGCACTCAAAGGGAAGGTTTGTCCCAGATAATATCACAACTCCCCACACACGCAGTATTTGCTATTTTACTGTCATCTATGGACATTGAAAACAATACAACACTGTCAGTCCTCCACATTGACCTCTCTTGCCCACATTGTGGAGTTTGATGTTAGCTAGTTAGCCTAGCTAACTTAATGTACGAGCACATTTGAGCTAACGTTAGCTTTCAACTCGGTCAGGTTAGCCCTCTGCTATTCGGTATTTCAAGACACAAAAACAACTGGAGTGTATGTTGAACAACAATATTAAGTTATTCTAATCATTCTTTTCTGCTGAAATGCCAAAATTTGGTTTCATACGTGATTTAGAGAAATTTACCACAGGCTGTCGAGAAGTGCATAATGGCGGCACGGTGAAACTCCTGATCCGTTTGAAAGGAGGAGGGGGGCGGAGCTAACCAGAGTACAGAGTTCTTTCCAGAGTACACTGCGTCTTGTCGCAGTGAACAATGACATCAACACTGGCGGACGTTTTACTCTTGCTGTTGTTGTAATAACTCTGAAATAGTCCATATACTTTGACATTGCATATTTGACACTGGGAAATTTACTGTGGGCCGTTGAGACAAGTGGTGTTTTTCCTGCTGGTCCCTGAACGCAGCACGTGACTCATTCTGTCTCTGGTCCTTCACCTCCCCAGGTCTCCTGGTGCTCCTGGTCTGGGTCTGGATGTGGAGGAGCTGGCTGAAGACTGTTCTGCAGTCAGATCACAGCTGGAGTACCTGCAGAGGTTACTGCTTCAGGTGAGAGGAGGAGGAGGAGGAGGAGGAGGAGGATTCATTTCAGTCTGAAACCTCTTTTAAGATGATTCATAAATCTCCATCGCTGTTTAAAATAGGTTATAAAGTTCTGAGGAATCCAATGTTTTCATACATTGTATCAAAATGTGTTCCGTGTTCTATTAATACTGTTAATACTAATACTACTATCCTGTTGATGCTGTCTGTTGTCCAAGGAGGTGGACGAGGACACTCTGACCACAGACGCTCTGAGTCCAGAGACCAGTGACTCCTCCCACAGCTCCAACACACAGGTTTGAATCTTCTCAACCTTTATTTAAACAGCCGAGGACGACAAAGCACGTTAACGTTAAAGAGGAGAACGTTCAGGTGCTCCTCCGATGGTCCCGACGTTGTGTTCATGAGCTTCAACTCGTGTTGCGTTTTATTGCTTTGAAATCTTCTAAATAATCCGGCTCACTTTACCTGAACAGGAACGAACGCTGACGACGAATAACTTCATTTACCTTTGTCCAACGTGTTTCTGTTAAATATGACGCCAGCTCAGCAGGTCGTGTGACAAACTCTTTGCAGACTTTCTGAGTTCTTGTTAATGTGAATTTTCCTTGTCAGGAACACATTTTTCCGATTTCTTCAACGCCACATGAATGCAGCATGAAGCTTAGTTTGTACTGGAGGTAGTGAAGACCTCCATGAATATGAGATCATTACGATCCCTCTCATCCCGGTGGAGGTCAGGTTACGGCTCTGCTCCCGTTACACTCGTCGTCTGTTTGTTTGTTCGTCTTCTGGAGTTTAAGAGAAGAACAAACGAAGCTCATGTAACCAGCCTCTCCTGCTTCTTCTTCTAGTTATAAAATCCTACATTTCCCAGAATCCCTTTCCACAGCCCTGACCTGTGTGTGTGTGTGTGTGTGTGTGTGTGTGTGTGTGTGTGTGTGTGT